GTCTGTCTGTCTGTCTGTCTGTCTGTCTGTCTGTCTGTCTGTCTGTCTGTCTGTCTGTCTGTCTGTCTGTCTGTCTGTCTGTCTGTCTGTCTGTCTGTCTGTCTGTCTGTCTGTCTGTCTGTCTGTCTGTCTGTCTGTGTAGGCTGGTGAATCAGAGGCTGCTGGAGGGTCAGTCTCAGGTGGAGGAGCTGCAGAAGTCTCTTCAGGAACACGGATCCAAAGCAGATGATGTGAGTCCAGCGTTTCATCACACTGCAGTCGCGCTGTTGATCTGAATGTGACAGAGCCGTAAGATCGAGATCACAGCTCATCACCGCAGTTCAGAAATTCACATCCACACACACCACTTTTTTCACTCTGCCAACAAAACAATTCCTAAAGAGACCAAAGCAGCAGATATTCACAAACGAGAGAAGTCCTACAAACCTGAGCTGCTCATATCAGAAAAAAGCTTACTTTGAGCTTGTTTAAACACACTTGCATCTCTGAATGATTTTATGTCTTAAGGACAGGACAAAACTTCACAAACAGTTGTTTACTTGTAATTATTTAAAAAAGTACTTAGTTATTTAGACAATTCAACAAAAATACATTAATAAAAAAAAACATTCAAAGTCAGGAAACTCATTAATTAATAAGATTTTGTAGATCAAGAATATTTTTGGAATTGGGTTGTGATTCCAGAATTGAATCGGATCATAAGATGCCAGTAGATTCGCACTCCAGTCCAAGAGACGAAATGTGATTCGATAAACGTAATTAATGTAATCATGTGGATTGAAAGGTAATGAGCCATCGAATATGGATGTTGATCCTGTAGAGAAACATCCAGCAGTGGCTCAGAGAGAGGAGTTAAAGTGTGCAGCAGATCTTCTGAACGTCTGGCTGTTTAGAGAGGAGCGTGAGCGTGTTTGTTTGTCCACAAGGTCTTCTTGAGCGTGATCATAGCATCTGTTCTTCAGCAGCCCATCTCACTGACTCCGATAGCGGCACACACATGATCTTCTCACATGTTAGCACTGGACTTCAGTGTGCTGTATGATCGGCAGAAGCGCTCCTTCTCTCTGCTTGTCTTCTTCCTCCAGCACGATGGACAGTGTTATCATGATGTTTGTCGTGTTCTCCATTGACACAGCACATTTAAAGGGGACATGACATGGATTTTAAAAATTATTTTAACATGTTCCTTGAGGTTTACGTATAATGTTAATAAAGATTTTTTGCACACACAAAAAAAAACAAAAATATATGTAAAAATGATTATTTTCAACCCTCATTCTGACCCTCTGTCTAAAACGATCTGTTTTAAGGCTCGTCAGTAATCAGCCGCTGTTGTGATTGGCTAACATCATTGCATAGGAAACAGTATCAACACCCATCCGCTATTGCATGTGAGTTTTGACAACAAGATCAAAATAAAATGGTAATTTCCAGACAAAGCATTATGAAATCATGTACTTATGGTTTGTGATGCAGATCTAGTGCCGCTTCATCTTTGTGACTCTCCATGACACTGTGCCTCGTTTACAAAACAAAATCCCCCGACACGATCCGGGACGCCATTACAATAAACTATCCACTTGTTGCTTACGCTGGGATCCTTCTGATATCTGTACAAAGACGTGACCGAGCTGTTTAAACCAATCACGTCAAAGCGAACGATCTTTCACTGCATTTGTCCTGACGACAGACTCATGTCTGTAACTGTATCCAGTGCAGACGAGATAGCGCAGTGATTTTAATTTCTATTTGCTTGTGACGCGACGCTAGCATTCAGCGTGATCAAGTGTCAGCCGTTAGCGACTGAACGCCAGTGGGCGGGGCCTCTGGTGAGAAGCAGACTATTGGTCGATGTCTTGCTCTGGAGGCGTGTTTATGCAAATGACTGCACACAGGTGACATCATCTTGCGCCTCAGATCGATTAAATAAGTGCTTTGTTTATAATGAGGAGGAGGTTTTAAGCTATGAAACCTGCAGGATGTTTTAATGGTACAAAAGATCAAGGCAAATTAGATTTCTCATGTCATGACCCCTTTAAATCTGACTAACCCTGACGCTCGTCTCTGTGGCGTGATCGTGTGCTTACTAACCTGTTTCTGTGATGTCGCTCATGATGTAGCATGATCCAGGTGTGTCGTCCGGCTGCGTGCGGAGCGTGATCATCATCATCATCATCATCATCAGAAGTGTGTGTCCGTTACTTTATTCTGTCTGTGTGTCGTTGGTAACAGGCTCTGCTCTCTTCTGTCTGTGCATCGAATCTCTCTCAGTCTGCTGTGAGTACAGTCAGGCATCATGCAGCTCTGTGATTGTTTTGGGCTCGATCGCATGCACAGTTCCTCCTGCATCCGTGTGTCACGCGTGTCTCCTGCAGCTGATGATCAGAGGAGCGTGATCCGTCCGCTGATTACTGGACTGTTTCTGCTGGGTTTATTGCTGATTGTTTCAATCGTCCTGCGCTCTCAATCACTCTGGAGTTTGATTGTCAATCACTCAATATCTTCTTTGAATGCACATTGTAGTTTTTTATTTTCACCAATTTAGTTTTGCTCATTAGAGTCAGATTTGAACATTATGCTCAGTATTTTTGCCTAATAATAAATGGTGATGGGTGTTAGGAGAAAACAACAGATCTTTCTGTCAAATCTTAAAACGTACAAATATTATTTTCGAAAATAGATACAATAATGAGGTTTAAAACATATATATAGATGTTAAAAGGTGAAGTTATATGCTATATTGTCCTATTGTATGTCCAAATTAGACTAGACAGCAGGTTATCTGAGCAACTAGTCAACTGGTCTGGTGTGTTAAAGTAGAGCTGGTTATGGTTTAAGGCTGGTTTACAAGACATGCAAGTTTATTGCTGAAAACGGTCCTCATAAAACTACACATAACTGGAACAGTTCACAGAAAAACATCTGCATAAGTAACTAGTCGACCTCACTAACCCACTAGTCAGTTGCTGGGTTATTACAGTTAACACACTAAAACCATTAAAAAAAACATTTTGTTACTTGAAATAAAATAAACGTTAACTGAAATCAAATATTTTTTTTAAATTATTTCCACAAGTTTCCAAGCAACTTTTATTGTTTTAATTTAGTTTTAACTTGTTGTACTAAAATAACTAAAACTGAAATAAAAATTAACAAAAACTGTACAGACATAAAACAAAAACTACTAAAAATGAAAAAAGCACCACAAAATTTTAACAAAATGAAAACAGAAAATATGAAAATAAAAACTGATTGAAATATTAATAAAACTTAGTATCTCAATTATACTAATATAACACTGGTCACTTGTTGGTAACTAGTAGAGCGTCCTGACTCATCTGTAGCATTGTTTTATCACTGATATCTATATTCCTGTAGTGTTCATGTGAATCATTAGACCGTGTTTGTTCATTTATTTGCTCTGGTGTTGATTGTTGAATTGCAGATGGTGTTTTGTGTGATTGTGAACGAGCTCTTCAGCGTCCTCTGCTGGACACTGACACACTAACACATCATGAGCAGTGCCCCAAAACCCCTCTCCAGCACCCTCAGAAGTGCACACTGTGTAGGGCGGCGTGTGGATGTGTTCCGCTGGTGTACAGCAGGAGGCGCTGCAGTGCTTCACATGAGCATTAATGCATCGTGATGCCTGTGTGTGTGTGTGTGTGTGTGTGTGTGTGTGCGCGCGCGCGCTGGACAAACTCTAACCTCTCTGCTTCTGCTTCAGACGGTCCTGATGAAGAGGAAGTGTCAGGAACATCTGTGAGTATCAGCAGAAAATCACTCTGACGTCACTGAGACTCACGAATGACATGTATGGTTTGTTAGGATAGGATAATATTTGGCTGAGATACAACTATTTGAAAATCTGGAATCTGTCCTAATGATTTTTGGCATAAAAGAAAAATGGATCATTTTGACCCATACAATGTATTGTTGGCTATTGCTACAAATATACCTGTGCTGCTTATGACTGCTTTTGTGCTCCAGGCTCACATATGATTGTTCTCGTCTGCAGGGACAAATTAAAGGACGCCACTAACGAGCTTCAGAAGAAGAGCGCAGCGATTGAAGAGCTGGAGAACAAACACACTTCCAGCGGTGAGACTCAATGAGCATCATACATGAACGTGTGAGAGTGAGCGAGAAAGCGAGTGTGCGTGTGAGTGCGTTCGTGTGTGTGAGCGAGTGACAGCTTGAGTGTGAGTGAGCGAGCGTGTGAGCGAGTGAGCGAGCAAGTGTGTGTGAGTGTGTGTGTGAGAGTGAGCGAGCGAGTGAGTGAGTGAGTGAGTGTGTGTGTGTGTGTGTGTGTGAGAGTGAGCGAGAAAGCAAGTGTGCGTGTGAGTGCGTGCGTGTGTGTGTGAGCGAGTGACAGCTTGAGTGTGAGTGAGCGAGCGTGTGAGCGAGTGAGCGAGCAAGTGTGTGTGAGTGTGTGTGTGAGAGTGAGCGAGCGAGTGAGTGAGTGAGTGAGTGTGTGTGTGTGTGTGTGTGTGTGAGAGTGAGCGAGAAAGCAAGTGTGCGTGTGAGTGCGTGCGTGTGTGTGTGAGCGAGTGACAGCTTGAGTGAGTGAGTGAGCGAGCGTGTGAGCGAGTGTGTGTGAGTGTGTGTGTGAGTGTGTGTGTGAGTGTGTG